TTATGAGGAAAATGTTTGAAAAATTTGTTGGAAAAAGAGTAAATATATTTTTACGAATTATTAAATTAAAAAATTCAGATTGTGTTCATATATTAAATTTACAGCAAAAAGTAGGAAAAATATATTCCTATAACTTGTTAAACGTACTATATTATACCTTTATTATAAAAAGTACAAGTTATTATAAAGTTATTATAAAAATACAAGTAAAAATCTAAAATTGATCTTTTTCAAGCAGTTTTTAAGATAATTTTCTTAGTATTTCTCGTATAGTTCAGCCTTGGTTAAAGTTTTATCAATTATTTTTTTTAAATTGTTAGTTTAAAATTCCGTAATACTTACCCTTTGAATCTTGCACCCAACATAATACTCAAATTAATTTACGTCGTTCCTTAAAATTTAGAAAAAACTGAAATATGGGCTCATGGGGCAAGGATAGTTAGAGCTATTACGGCTCGATAAAATCCTGCTAATTCGACTTAAATTATAAAAAAATGTTTAATTCTTCTTTTTATGTTGATATATATAATGGTACGTAATTATATACGGAAAACGAAGCTTATTGACCAAGAAATTGGTGATCATCTGAAGAAAATTGGTTAAACCTCAGATTTTAGTTCAGACGAATTCTAATGCAATAATTGATATTTAGAAAATGTTCAAAAAATGTTGTTAATACTTGATATATCAATATTGAATAGTCTAAATCCAATAAAATAAAGAAACCGAAAATTTACTGATCTTCTATGACAATTTTAGCATTCGGATTCTTTTAACTATCCTTGCCCCGATACTGGAACAAGGATAGTTAAATTTTTTTTTACTTTTTCATTCGTATCTCGTAGGGATTGCACTCTACAGCAAAATAAAGTATTATTTAGTTACAAATTCAGGTAGGGTTGCTAGATTCGAAAACGTCTTACCTAACTATTGTATTGTATTGTGAATTATCATGAATTACTTTGAAATATCTCGAATTACTATGAATTATTTTGAATTTACTTGAAGTATAACGAGATTTTGCACTGAATATCACTTTACAATTAGTCAGAAACACAAAAGAAAATACATTTTTGTCCAGGTCATTTTTTAGGCAAAAATTGACTTCAAATTATTTGTTGAATTTCGTATTCATATTTTACTTATATAGTTTATGTAGTATGTAGGTAACAGAAACATATGGGATGTAGCAGAATTTTGTAAGAAATGCGCAATGCATTACTGCGCAATTTGTCTGCCGTAAAATTAACTAACGTTTCACAGACTTTTCACTAATGATTCGTAAACGTTCACTAAAGTTGCCTATACTCGTATAGTATTCTACAAATTCTTTACTTTTAAATAATTCAGTTAAAAATATTTGAAATTTTAAATATTAAATATTTAAAAGTGTGAACTAGCGATCTTTTTGGAACGAGCGCTAAGTTTTCGTAACGAGTCGTAGGTGAGGGGTTGGGGTACGGTCACACTATCTCATGCATGCACTCATGAAGTAAGAATAAGGAGACTTCACTCTAATGTCAAGTCTGTCCCCATTCTCTATAACATCATTCCGGAAAATTCGAATAGGCAGAGGTGGCGTTCCTTGCGGGAAAAACACGAAACTGTCGATTTTAACCTTATAAATTCGTCTGCTACTACTATAATAAACACCAAATGAGTGCTATGATAATACCCATTTTTGACATTTTAAATAATATTTTTTATTGATTGCAGAATTTTATTTTATAATAATTTAAATTATTACGATTTTTTGTAATTGTAATTACAATTGATTAAATTGTTTATAAAAAGGAGAATGTTTTTGTTTCTTTTATTTTAAAGAAGACGATCGCTATCATGAATCAAAGTAATTCCCAAGTAAGTATTTGCTATAAATTCTTAATAATATATAATATAATATACATATAATAATATTATATATATATATATATAATAATATAATAATATTTATAAAAATTAAAATATATAATTAACAATATTATTTTTCTTTAAACAGATAACCGTAGGATTCAATACATTAAACGGAATTACCTTAATTAATTATGATAAGGAATTAGCTTTTGCGGAGTTAAGAAATTGTTTGGACTATATTCCACTGCCTTGTGAAAACTGGTGTTTCACAAGAGGAAGTGACTACTTTTTTGGATTTCAAAGCGTTGAAAACAACTTTGACATTAGAAAAAGAGTTGCAGTTTTTTGAAGGTAAAAATTTGTATAGATGATATAATTATGCCATTTTCATCAGAAATAAAGATATCAACAATTAATGATTTAAATAAACTTTTGAAAACTGTTGATAAATTAAAATTATAGGACTCTATACAATATTAACTTATTGTAATTGTAATCAAAATTTTTTTAATTTAATATATTTTTGATTAAATAAATCAAATGCAAAAATTTATCATGTTTATTTTTTATCCTTCTTTTATATCAAAAGTTTAATATTTTAAAAATTTAATGTTTAATGCACAAGGTAATAGGCTTGAAACAAATAAAAGCAAGTTAGTAATGTCTTCCACATTATTTACAAACTGCCACTGCTCTAGAAATATTTCCTTTTTTTTACAAAAACCTAGAAATAATTATTTTTAAAAAATGAAAACAAAATATATATTAATAATATTAAAGTATTTTTATTATTAATTTTTTTGATTACAGGACAAAAAATCCAATCAAAAAAATGCAAACCGAAAATTAAACGAAAAAATTCCAAAATACAAAAATCGAAAATAAAAATGTTTAAAGTCAAAAAATCCACAAAATAAAGTCCAGAGTTAAATTATTTTTTGGGAATTCATTTACAGTCAACTTTTTAGTTTGGATTTTTGTATTGGGAATTTTTGTCCGGATAACAATTTTTTCAATACCTCTATGGACATATTTGAATGTAAAATAACTTTATTTTCTAAATAATCTGCATTTTGCGTCCAATTGTTCCACATAATACATCCTTTAATACGCTGCACCATCCAAAATTGAGTTGGTAGTGGTACACTTTCACAATTTTTGAATATATTTTCAAATTTACATTCTAATTCGAAATTTGGTTTTCCACGCGGTGGACTAAAAAGATTCACTACTTTTATTATTTTTGTTTCCGTGTCTGAAGTAAAAATTGATGGAATTGCTCCTTTTTGTAGAGAAATTCGTAGCAAAGAAATATTAAATTTTTCTTCTCCTACTGAAGATTTGTAATTTCTTACAACTTCTGAATCTAAAAAGTGTAAATCACACACATGTTTTTTTCAAACTTTCCCCCTATAAAAAAATTATATATATATATATACAAAAATATTACAATTTTATATCTATTGTTTAAATTATAATAAGTAAGAAATAATTTATTATAATAACCGTTGTTGCATGAAAAAAACTTCTCTTCATCAGTGGATTTAATTTTTCCTTTTTGTTGCGATAATCAGAAGAATTACAATTTCTAACAAAACAAGAGGGCATCTGCAATGATTTATTAAGAAACGTAATATGAGTTGATTTAAAATTTTCCAAAAATTACACAAAATGCACAGATTTGGTAATATATACTTATAAGTAAACAAATTAATTATTTTGAAAAAATTATAAATATGACTACAGATTGACATTCGTAAGAAATTGACAAGGTTGAAAAACATTTGTAAACACTTAAATTCAATTACATCTCAATTATTTCAATTTATATATCTTGAAAACTTGAAATAATTTAATTTATAAAATTTTTCAAGAATTAAAAATTCTATTATTTGTTAAAATTTTTTAAAATTTGTACAATAAAATTTTTTTATTATAAATAATTTCTTTATATAATTTTTGCACAACTTTATTACAATGTAATTATAATATGTAATATAGGCTAATATAATATCAGTAATATTATATTTAAATATACTTATAATTACTTTATATTTATAATTAATCTATAATTATTTATATTTATATTTATGACAAATATACATACCTCTTTTATATTTTTCCACTGGCACAATTTAATATTACTTAAACTATCAAACTTAACGATTATTTTTCAAACACAAAAATAAAATTGATGCTTCTGGTAAACAAAACCACATGTGAATGTGACAGAAGCATATTTTGAATTTGAAAATCAAGTTTCGCGTTTTTCCCGCAAGGGACGCCACCTCTGTCTATTCGAATTTTCCGGAATGATGTTATAGAGAATGGGGCCATTTTTTCTGTATTCCTCATATAGAGTGAAGTCTCCTTATTCTTACTTCATGCATGCACTGTGCATGCATGCAGAAACATTTGGTCGGTCACACTTCAACGAAATCTAGTGAATGTTTAGTAACTTTCTAGTTACAATCGAAATTTTTGGAAAATTACTAGAAAGTTACTAAACATTCACTAGATTTCGTTGAAGTGTGACCGGCCAAATGTTTCTGCATGCATGCACAGTGCATGCATGAGATAGTGTGACCGTACCCTTACGAAAATGTAGCGCGAGTTTCAAAATGGCGCCACACGTGTTGCGCATAATACTTTTCATAACAAAATCATAAAAAGGCCTGGATACTAAGATGCATAATTATATGAAATTTATATCAAATGGAATTTATGTTATATGAATTTTGTGCCAAATGAAATTTATGACGATTGATTATTATGTCAAATAAATTTTATGTAAAATTATAATTATGACTATTGAAAGTTATGTGAAGTGAGTTTTATGCCAAATGAAGTTTATATCAATTAAAATGTATATCAAATGGAATTTATGTTATATGACATTTATGTCAAATAAAGTTTATGTCAACGTAGAATTATATTATCTGAAATTTAAGTGAAGTGAGTTTTATGTCAAATGATATTTATGTTAAATGAAATTTGGGGTTCTGTTTATGCGAGTCGAATGTATTTCTATACTAAAAGTTGGATCTTCCACTTAAACAGATAACAACACATTATTATGCACAATTTTTTTATGAATATCACAATTATTGAACAACATAATGTTTTATAAACTTAATTATTTTTAGATAAGAAGAACAACTGGCCCGTCATGTTGAACAGTTTAGCAAACTATTTACTTAGAAGTAGTGTTTCTGATCATTCTGAATCGAGGGACGATATAAATGTTGGAAACATTAACAACTACCTTACACAAACCAGGCTGAAACAAGTTGAAGTTGAAGAAAATGATTGGATTCTCATTGACCAAACAGGTATTCTACATAATTACTAAAATTCTTTAATACACTCCCTGGCGGATTTGATTTACCTAAATTCGACCCAGCTGGGGCGAATCTAAGTCGAATTTAGGTAATTATCAAAAAAAAGCTTTAAATTGATGAAAATTTATAAAAATTAGTATTGTAAGGTTAAATGAACATTTATAGAGTTAATTTTTGAAAGAATTTTAATTATTAACGTGATAAATATTAAATAATCACTTGATATGTGCAAGTGGTAACTGTAGATTTTAACTCGTTGTCAATTTTCATAATATTTTCAATAAATTAGTGTAAAATGTGTGAAAAAATAATTTATATTTAATAGAAGTTGCAAATTTTATTAAATTATTTTATTATTTATCGAGCACAGTTTAAAATAATTGCAATTTAATTTTAAAAAAAAGTTTTCTTAAAAGTGATAAGAACTCTACTATACCGACAGCAAGAGGATATTTTCAGGTAAGTAAAGTTATTGTAGCGTGTAGTTTTGTTGTGACTAAAAGATGTCGCTTTAGTTTCTATAGTGATCAGACAGGAACATCGAATCTCATGATCAAATATTCATGAAGATTCCTATGATGCAAAATTAGACGTCCCTTTCCAGAATTTATTTAGTTGGTGGAGTTGAATAACTTTAAAATTATTGAAACACTTTAAAGTTTGAAAGTAGAACTTGGAATTTTGAAAATAACTTTTTAGTTTGTTGAAAGAAAAAATGTTTGAAAATAGAACTTAGGATTTTGAATAACTGAACAAAATTGTTGAATGATTTAAAATTTTTGAAATGACTTTTTAAAGTTTGTAAGTAGAAAATTGGAATGTTGAAATAACTGAAGATTTTACGTAAACATACGTTTTTAAAGGTTTGTCTCCACTACAAATTTTGAGTTTTGTGGTTGATTTTGAAGAAGGGAGTGATTTTTTGTAGAAAGGGAAATTTCTTGTAGGCGGAGAAAAAAGGGAGTTGAGAAAACTCGCTATTGGGTTTTCTCGTATAAAATGGTGAAAACTCGAAGTAAAAAATGGAGAAAACTCATTTCAGGCATTTTATGTGTAATGTCCTGATTTAAAAAATTTATTTCTCGAAAAAAGTGAAACTTGGGGAAATTGTTTTCCTACATGATAGCAAAATATCCCCAAAAAAATTTTTGACTTTTTTGAAATTTTAGGGGATAGAGAGGGGGTCAATTTTATCAGTTTTCCTTGACACCGTTTACTATTTGAATTTTTTCTGTCTATAAATGTAATAAAAAATTTTTTGGCAGGTATGTTTTTTGAAGTTTTTTTCATGCTCTTTCCAATGGTGAATTTCGTTTTTTAAAATTTTTGAAGTTTGACCTTGATTTTCTATAATTAAACATAAATTTGCTATTTTCACTAAAATCGATGCGTTTTTTTTAAATATGTAAATAATTGCAAACGAAAGCTGAGGTTTCTTCCGATCTGTATATAAATTATCAGAATGCCAATTTTTTTTGTTTTCGAGATATATGTCAAAGATTTGATGTCAGCGCGCACCAGTGTTTACAGCTACCGTGGCGCGGTATGAGTCGACCGCTTTGCCGCGCGCGCTGACATAAAATCTTTGACATTTAATATCTCGAAAACAAAAATATCGTCATTCTGAAAATTTATATACAGATCAGAAAAAACCTCAACTTTCGTTTGCAATTATTTATTTTAAAAAAAATGCATCGATTTTAGTGAAAATAGCAAAATTATTTTTAATTTTAGAAAATCAAGGTCAAAATTCAAAAATTTAAAAAAACGAAATTCACCATTGGAAAGAGCATGAAAAAACCTTCGAATAACATATCTGCCAAAATTTTTTTTATTGTATTTATAGACAGAAAAAATTCAAATAGAGGCGATGTGAGGGAAGATTGGTAAAATTGACCCTCCTCTATCTCCCCCAAAATTTCAAAAAAGTCAAAAACTTTTTTGGGGATATTTTACTATCAGGTAGGACAACAATTTCCCCAAGTTTCACTTTTTTCGAGAAATCAATTTTTTAACTCAGAACATTACACGTAAAATGCCTCATTTGCATTTTCTTTCTATTGGGCCTCACTGACCCAACCCTTAGGGTAGGTCAGAACTTGTGGGTTGTCCTTCAGGGACATAGATTTTTAAAAGTAGGAATAAATTCTTAAAGAAGGGGAGATCGTCTATATTTTGCATCTTTTACAATTAAGCTAAATTTTTATTATTAACAATGATTATTTTTATTATAGTTTATTATTAACAATTATTATTTAGTTTATTTTACATATTCGTTTTTGAATTTTAATTGTCCGATGATTTTTAAGAAAGATACAATTTATAAATTTAATTTGTTTATAATTTTTAATAATTATTGTTATTTTTCATTAATTTATATAATAGCCTACACTGAAAAAAAATTTTATTTGGATCAAATAAAATGTATTTGATCCAAATACATCATTTACTTGTCTATTATCTAATAAATATGTATTTGAACCAAATGCACATTTACTAAACCTAAGTATTTTATTTTATCGCATCAAATAAATAGTTATTTGAATCAAATACAAAGTATGCAAATAAAATAAATGGAATATTCAAAGCTAATAAATAATTATTTGAATCAATTATGAAAATTATTTCATTCAATACTGCATATTTTTTGATTCAAATAAATATTGATTTGCATTAATAAAATATTTTTCTTGAAACAACTAAAAATTTTCTTGAATCAAATATTCGATTATTTATCATAAGTAATTGTTTTAATTGAAACTAAAACCTCTTTAATTGCGGCAATTATTATTTTATTTGATCCAAATACATAATTTATTTGCATAAAATGTCAGAATTTTTTGATTCAAATAAATCAAAATTTGAATTGAATAAATAACATATTTATTTACTAATTCTTCTATTTCTAAATTAAATTCTTACTGAAAAAAATAAATATAAAAATATGTAATTTCTGCATACTATGATCACATATTTTCATTTTACAACTAATTTATACATAGAATTAATAATTAAACGCAAAACTGAAAAATAAATAAATCTAAGGCATGGGGGAATGGTACCTACGACCTACGGATTATGAGTCTAACATGCTTTACCAACTACGCTACGCACGCTACGTAAAAACGATTGTTAACTTCTTAATGTTATTTAAACTTGCAAAATACCTAACTCAGAAAAGTGCTTAACATCATTTAGTTAAAGTTAAGATATTACATTATATTTTCCAATTAAATGCAATTTATAAAATATAATTAATTATATGCTTCATGATTATTATCATCAATCATCCCAGGTGAATTTTCAAAAAAAAGTGTAAATATATTTTTATTAAAAACGCGTTTTTCGTTGTTCTGAGTCATTGTAAATATTAATTTTTTGTAGATAAAAAAATATTTGACTTTTGGACTTGGAAAATGTTGCTATTCGATCATATGTGAGTGTGTTATTTAAAAAAAAGTGTAAATATATTTTTATTAAAAACGCGTTTCTCGTTGTTCTCAATCATTGTAAACATTAATTGTTTGTTGATCATTAAATATTTGACTTTTGGACTTAGAATATTAAATAATATATATAAATAGGGTCAATTGGGGTAAATGGGGACAAGAGGTTTTGGAGCTTAATTTACAGTTTTAAAATTAAGTTCAACGTTAATATTTTAACCTCAGATCACCTGCAAGAGGTTCTGACTATTGCCAAGCTTTTATCTTTACAATTGAGGAGGTCAATCAAATAACACGATTCGCGTTCGAAACATCGCCGTTATGGGATTTCGACGCATCAAAAATAGTGAAAAATTAAAATTCAAAATGTTAATTTTTTTAAAACACTATCTTGTAGGGAATAAAAAAACACAACTTTTTTCCTTAATACTTTTTTTTGTAGAACCAATATTAATTAAATTAAAAATTAAAAACACCAAAAATTTTTTTTCAAATTTAATTAAATTTTTAAACATTAATCGTTGTTTTGAAGTCAAATGTTAATGAATTAACTTGCAATTTTTTATACAAGTTCCATAAGGGCGATGATTCGAACGCGAATCGAGTTATTTGATTGACCTGCTCAATTGGCAGCAAGATAATTCAAGTTATCGCTCACTGCATAAAAACTTGAAAATCAAAGTCAATCTATTTCAGTATTTTGTCTCGCATTTCAAAGAAAACAGACTTAAAAATCATACCAAATTTTTTTCTTATTCTTTATGACTCCCATAACAGAAATTCACTTGAATTTTTGATTTTTGTTAATTTGGTTAATAATGACAAGCTGTCCCATTTACCCTGAGTTTTCAAATTTTTGGGGTAAATGGGACAGCTTGTCATTATTAACCAAATTAACAAAAATCAAAAATTCAAGTGAATTTCTGTTATGGGAAAATAATAAAATATAAATAGAATAAGAAAAAAATTTGGTATGATTTTTAAGTCTATTTTTTTCAAATGCGAGACAAAATACTGAAATGAAAAAAATTTTAAAAAAATAAAATAATTTCAATTGGTTCAACTATTAAATATCTACTAAAATTTCTTTTCAAGTTTTTTCATCCCTTAATACAGTAATATACTTAAAAAAACTTTTTTCTTAGAAACTGTGCTGTTACCATTTACCCCAAATTTTATGAAATTTTCTAAATTTTGGGGTAAATGGGGACAGTCAGTTTCATGCGTTTAAAGCTTATCTAAATTTTTTTCTGCTGCATAAAATTAATCCTGGGAATGTAAATAACAACTTAAATTTTTGATATTTATTGATTTTTATCAAAATTTACTATTAATTGTTAAAAAATGACATTAAATATTATTTATAAACAATTGTAGTTTAAAACTAATTATTAAATTTATTTAATATTTATTTTTATTAAAATTATCTAATTTTTCTATTGCATTCATTTATTTTGAGAAAGTCATATGAGGCATTTCATAGGGGTGTCATGTCTCGGATTTTTCTCAAAATTCGGTAAATTGTAGTGATAGTGGTGCTTAATA